GACGTCCTCTCGTCCGAGGGAATTGGACGGGTAGGGCGTATTATAAGGGCGGTTGAGAAGAACCGCGTCTAAAAAAACCCCGACGAAAAGAAAATAGGAAAAGGAGATGACGGGAAGAGAGGAGACGGATGAGCACGCCGACGCGACGCAAAGCGTCTAGGAAATGACGATCATGAGCGCAACGCGCAACCATAATTCTGACCAACAAAACCATAATTCTCTGGGTCCATGCGGAAAGAGTCGAGAGGCCCCTCCCTCTACACATATACATCCATCCATCCATCCATCCCTCGTTGTCACCGGCCCGGAACTTGGGGACTGTGTCTCGTAATTTCGTGTCAAATTTCAAGGGGCTGGTCACGCAGCTCGAATTAAAATCCACGTCTCCGGGGAAATAAGAACGCGTGAGAAGAAGAGGCTGCGTATCGATTGGTCCGAGCGGAGAGGGACGTCGGCGTCTCGACGTCGTGAGATTCCGCAGAACTCGCCCCGAATGCTTTCGGGTCCTTTTATCGTGCCAAGCGCAATATCGACGTGTGAAAGTTTTGTAAGATATCGATTACCGAGATGCATCAAATTTATGAAGATTACAAAAATAATAAAACACATTTTCGTTAAAATTTCCGCCACCTTCAATCACTTTGTGTTATCATTTGGTAACCGAACCTCGTAAAATATCGTTTTTATGAGTCACGGCGGACGCTTATCGTATGAACCTCGGAAAGAATCGTTCGAAGGTAAAGAGTCGCTATCTTCTCTACGCCGGCTATAGTCCGCGATGCGCACGATATTTATAGCAAAAGTCAATAATTTCGTAGCAAAGAACCGACGAGGACGACTTCGCGACCAACCAACCGTTCGCGAGAAGCGGCTTCGCACCGCCACCCGGTATAGCGCGAGATCGACCCCGCGAAATCGAGCCGGGCCTAGTCTTCGTCGCGCGAAATCGCTCTATCTATCGATGACAATTATCGCCCGTGCGATGCGGAACGATGCAATTTCGCGAAATTACTCCGCGAGGGAGCAATTGTCTATAAGGTAATCCCGGACCGATCGATCGGGCCTGCCCGCGAGCAACGTACACGTGGCTGTCTATTGTGATGCACCACCGGGTATATCGGGTATCTCCCCTACGCGGAGAAAACATTTCAATCGCGGATACCGTTCAGTTTCGCCGAGTTTCGATCGTATGCGGAAATTTATCTTATCGCGTGTTTCAGCGGGCGGGCGTAATCGGTCATTCGCGAGGCCAGGTGTCGCAAAACGGCATGAGATTCTCGATACCTCCTCAGGCATCGTGACGGTTCGTTATCGCATTCTTTCGTTCAAAAACAAAGATCTGCATCGGACACGGCGATAAACGGCGAATTTCTGGAAATTACTAACGTCATTTTTATATGCAATCTACCGAATTTGATTCAACGATTGATAAGACCAACCGTCGCGCATGATGGTATCTCGCACATCTTGCATCGCAACACTCATGTTTGCATTCATGTTTGTGCCCGGTTCATTATTATGACACAATCGATTGCACGATCGGCGAAATTCGCCGATAATGAAAGTTATTGCAAAATTCGGCGAAATAATTCTCAAGATCGGTTTGTTCAACGATTCTTTAATGACCGTCGAAAAAATCGTCGAGGATAGCGTCGAAAGACACGAGCAAAACGATGGTCCTAAACGCGCCTATCCCTCGGGATAAAAGTTAGTTCGTGACTTCCTCGTCGGTCGCGTACACAATCGCGAAAAGTTTTCGAACTCGTTGAGTGTACGACGTTGCCACGGCGCGCGGCAACGCCGACAACAATAACGGCAAGAGCCGCCACGTAGAGACGTAAACTCGCCCGCTCGAGGATCACCGGGAAATAATCTGGGGGCAGGCACGGAGGTAGGCACGATCTACCGCGTGATCTCCGCGGAAATCGAAACTGGCTCGGGCGCTTCTATTCCGAGCCCCGATGCACACCCCCCCCCCTTCGCCCCGTGAAATATAACTCGTACCAATTCCCGTTTTATTTCATCTGAAGATAACTGGACTTGAACACTAGAGGTGAATTGCGAATTACAGAGATAAGATGACTGAAATATTTATCTCGCAATTCAGCTGCCGCGAATATTTTTTGTGCAGATTGAGAAAGTCGAATTCCTCCTACTTTGAAATTACGAGCGCATCTAAAAATAAAGACGTAGAATTTAATAAGCTCGCAGATAAGTTTCCTATCATCCGCTAAAATATGATCTCGTAAATTGTGTCGTTAATTAACGCGGCTCGGAAAGGCGAGGTGTATCATTGCAATTATAAAATAACAATAAACAGCAATAACGACGAAAGATCCGAGAAAAGTAGAAAGACTGCGAGTGTAGAAGACGGAGACAGGCACGGAGGTAGGCACAATCTATCGCGAGATCAGCACGAAAATCGGAACTGGCTCGAGCCAACCTAATCTAAGCTCTATCCCGCACCAAGAGAGAAGGAGAAAGAGAGGAAAAGGGGAGAGAAGGAGGAGAGAGAGAGATTTACCCTCTCTGAGACGCCTAACCTGGCTTACACGTTCGCGTTATGGAGAGCTCCGACACACTGGACACGCATACTCACGCGAGCGCACACCTGTGTGCATGCGAACGCTATCTATCCCGGCGGCCGTCCGCCTGCATGTCCGCCGGCGCGTTTTGCACGATTATGCGAGAGCTACCCGCTATGCAGATCGATCCCTCGGGTCGAAGGTGAAGCCCGTTTCGGTGGCAAGAATGCCCGAGTGTGTGTTCGTGTGTGCGCGCATATGAATCGGCACATTGTGTATTCTACCGCGTGTACGTACGGAATGCGCGCTCCGCGAGAGAGAGAGAGAG